GGCCCTGGCTGGGGACGAGCCCAGCCTCTCCTGGAGACTCCGCCTGACCCAGGGCCCGCTGGCTTAGATTCTGGCCTTAGACATTTTGTTAGTCTTGGAGTGGTGAGCTTAAGTGAAGTCACCAGTGGGCACCTAATTTAAAAACGTTAAAATAGAGGCCCCTTTCCAGGTGGAAAGCAGTGTCTTTGGGTGACGCACGCACTTGACACAGGTCCTTCCGGGAGAGCCAGTGTTCTCCCCACACCGCCTGAAAATTCATCCTTCCCAGACGCCACCATGAGGCCCTGGTTGGCAGTGGGCTCTGTCAGACAGTGGCAGTCTGCTGTGCCCGTGGGAGCTCTGGGGACGTGTGCTCACCGGGAGGAGGGGGAACGTGCAGGGAAGACCATGTTGGGGGGACGTGGCGGTCATTCCCAACATCCATGAAGGATGCTGCTTAGTTCGAGGGCAGTGTTCCCTCCCACACTCACCTGACCATTAGAGCACTCAGCCGTATACGTGAGCGTTTACCATCCATTCGGCAAAGAGAGCGCCCTGCAGTGTGAACTGGGTCGTATTTGTGACTTAGACACTTTTCTTTGCTGAATGAGCTCCTGAGAAATCCTCCCCAAGGAGGCACATGGAAACGTGTTTACTTAACTTTTCTGGATTTGAATCCCGAGTTTTTACAAAATAAATGACTACTGAACTGAGCAGCATAAGAATGTTTTGGTCAGCTGGAAAATATCACCACTGATTATATATATTTCACTCTTACTCCAAATATTGGAGTAGCATATGGAATCTTTTTCTCCAGATTTATTGAGATGTAATTGACATTGTGTAATCATAACATGTACAATGTGTTGATTTGATAGACTTCTATATTGCAAAATGATTCCCAGCATAGTACTAGTGAACACCATCATATAACTACCATTTATTTATTTTTGCAGTGAGAACAATTCAGATCTACACTATTAGCAACTTTCAGGTATATAATACAGTATTAGTAACGGAAGTCACTGAATTAACTAAATCTAATGCTGTCCATTAGATCCGTAGAATTTTTCACCTTAGAGCTGGAAGTTTGTACTCTCTGACCAACATCTGGTTATGGCAAGGTCGATAGTAGCAAGAAAGTTGTAAACAACCTAAATGTCCATCAACACTGCTTTGTTTCTATGGGTTCAGTCATGTGTCTGCGACACGCAGGGAAAGGGCAAGTGTAACCTCCGGGAAGGACTGAGATCCAGGGTGGAGGGCAAAGGAGACTTCAGGCTCATCTGCTTCATGTCTATAAAACATGAGAATGTGTCACTAAAATAACTTGAGCCCGACTGGTGTGGCTCAGTGGTTGAGCACTGACCTATGAACCAGGAGGTCATGGTTCGATTCCCAGTCAAGGCACATGCCCGGGTTGTGGGCTTGATCCCCAGTGTGGAGCCTTCAGGAGGCAGCCGATCAGTGATGATTCTCTATCATTGATGTTTCTATCTCTCTCTCCCTCTCCCTTCCTCTCTGAAATCAATGAAAAAAAAAAATAACTTGAAAAGGATGGAATATAGAGAAAGCACTGAGCTCCTACAATACACTTGTCTTCCCATATTTATCACGTAGAGAGGGAGGTAGGGCTGAAATCCAATGTCAGGCCCCTCTGGCAGTAGGCCAGGCTGGGTTTGGCGGCTGCGTTGTGCCCTCTGGCTGGCATCCCAATCATGGTGGGGAGGCAGGGAGCCAGGGATCCGTAGAGTCGCCGCCCAGAAGCAGGCTGTAGGACAGCGGTGCTCACACTGAGTGTGCATCAGAATAACCCGCAGTGCCTGTGACATTTTCATTTCCCCAGGTCTCACTGTCAGCGATTCTGATTTCAGAGGTCTGCCTTGTGATCCAATCTGCATTTTTTAATAAGCACTAGAATTGACGCTGACGAAGGTGGTCTTTGAGCCCCAGTGGGCTCAATACATTCCGTGTTTTTCGCCCTCTGCGGAGACACTGCTCAGGATGTCTTCAAGGACGAAAGCTGGGGCTGTTGCCCTGGGGACCAAGCCCCACTTATTAAGAGAGAACACAGGGAGGGCACTCCTTCCTGGGCATTTGAGCTGCCCCCCCGAATGTCGTGTGGAAAAACACGGCGAGGACCGTTCCAGTTCCACATTTTGTTAAAAAATAAACGGAGAAGGGCCCTCGCTCACGAGAGAGTAACACCAGAGTGAACTTGCCTGTGTCGAGATAATAATTCAGAGGTGGAAATAAAGAGCTGTGGTTTGGGCTCATCACTGTGTTTTGCCAGGAGGCATATATCAATGGAAACCCAAATGAGGGGCTTCTGTAAGGTCCAGGTTTCTATCTAAATGTGACTGCAAAGAGCCCTTCCCCCCTGAATGCATGATGCAAATACAAGATGATTTTTACCATCCAGAAGAGCCATTTCCAGTTGATAATGAAACAGGACTGGAATCAAAAATAGGAAAGCAAATTGCCTGCCTTTGGAGAGGAATGTCATCGAAATGGCTTTCGAGTGTTTTGTTTTGGTTTATTTATTTATGTTTTCTACTCCGAAGAGCCTAAGCTGAGATATGCCCTCCATGCTGCTCGTGTCTGAGTATCGATAAGCGTCCAACCAAAAGTTAAACAATTGAATGTGCTAAGATCTTGAATTGAGTGGATTGGCCAAGCCTTGTGTCTCTTAGTGTTGTTGTTGTTTTGTATAGGGTGTCACCAGAGAAGGTGACCTGCTGCTGGGTCCTGGGTCTTCAGGAATGCGGTGAGTCCAGAGATGTGTGCAATGAGGCGGCCTGTGGCCAGAGGCCCTAGCTAGGCCAAGGTTAGGGACTAGAGCTACCCTAGAATCTAGGAGGTGAAGGGGAAGCAACTCAGCAAGCCTGGGTCTCCCCTCCGCCCTGGATAGTCCCATCAAAACAGGCCACACTGTCGGCATCACTCATGGGCATCCACACTTGGGATATCAGTAAAGGCATGCATTTCACAATTAGACTAAGCCATCCGAGAGGAGGAGAAAGGAGGTGTACCATGCATCAGTCTTGCCTAGTTACTCCACCCCCAGGGTCTGACAGGGATGCAGGGCTGATGGGGAGCCCTCCCCCGGGAAGAGGAGCAGGCCGGGAAAGTGGGGGGATGGATTCCTGACACAGAGCTTCAGCCCCGAGAACATTTTGATTATGAGAACACTTACTTTTCATTCATTTCCTGCCACCTGAACACTCCTAGAGATTGATAATGGGCCCTAAATTATTGTGTATGTTTATATAAACATAGGAAGGGGGACACCTTTAAATAACACGTGCAAATGTTGATATGGTTGAGTAGGAAACATTATGAATGTGTTAATGACTCTCGTGAATTAAAATGAATATGATCTAAAAGGGTAAACACAATTCTAATTTGCTAAGGCAATTAGTAAATTTCCCAGTGATCGTTAATGCCTTCCTTTCATAGCAGGTGGCGGCAGGAGCATTTATCATGGCCATACATCACAGTGATTTATGTAGACTCCCCTCTTACTCTCTGAAGTGCACATTTCCAGGCAATGATGTTTCGTGGTGGTTGTTTTTGGTCCTTGATTCTTTCCATAATATCTCGCCCTGGGCTTGGCATGCCTGCTGGACAATAATAAAAAGAAGGAAAGCATTTAGACTGGAGAACAGTAAGTTCTTTTCACCACAGACGATCTTCTGAAGCAACATTCAAGTGGAAGGGCTGGGAACTGCAACCCTGAAACCCTCGTGACAAGAAGCAGTGACATAAGGCAGGACAAAGGATGATCCAAGACTAGCCGCCGTTGCCATGTGCCAGCTATGTGCATTTCCTTCACTGTGTACATACTGGGTCTTCTCAGCGTTCTCCAGAGGTGGGTATTTTTACAAATTTCATATATTTTCCAAAACTGGGGTCCTGCCAGTATAAAGAATCGGCCCAGTGCTCACACTGAGTGACGGTGGAGCCGCCATACAAGCTCAGAGCTGTGTGGCTTATTGGGCTTTGGAGCCAGTGATCTCCTCTTTTTGGCAATCAACTTGGGCTTATCCTAGGGCTTTCTTAAAGCATCATCGTTTCCCACTTGCCCAGTTGCTCTTTCAGGAAGCGATGAGAAGACAATCTGGTAAATGCAAGGTTTTGAAATACAATTCTGGGGTTCAGAGGTCTGAAGAGAGCTGACTGTGAAGGCTGGTAGCACTTTCAAGCAGAGGACGTTGTGAACTTCAAGAGTGCTGAATTGGTGTAAGGCACTGGTTCTCAACCAGGGGTGATTTTGTCCCCTTCCCCCACCCCCAGGGCATATTTGGCAAATTTTAGAAACATTTTTGGTTGTCACAATTGGGTATGTGTACTCCTGGCATCTAGAGGGTAGAGGCCAGGGATGCTGCTAAACACCTTACAGTGCACAGGACAGCCCCACACGGCACAGAATTGTCCTGCCCCAAATGTCACTAGTGCTGAGGGCGAGAAACCCTGGCATGAGGGGTTGCTCTATTTCTTATAACTTTGGAAGCTAGTTTTTTTTGGGGGGGGCTTTAGCTAAATTGATGGTAACTCAGGGAGTGTGGGTTTAGAATAGATACAGGCATATGAAACTGGTCGCTTTTGTTCCAATGTTGACTTTTCCTCCAGTATGAGTGAATCACTTAAAGGTGGAGGGTGGACTAGTTTTACTTCTTTCTGTCCCAACAGAGACATCCGCATCCAGAAGACAAAGTACAAGGGCTTAGAAGCTCCACCCTCTGGAAAAAGGACGTAAGACATGAAGGGGTGAGACCGCTTCAGAGGAGTGTCATGTAAGAAACATCTACACCTGTAGGGGATTTTCATGAGTTTATTTGAGCCAAACTGACGATAATTGCCGGGAAGCAAAATCTCAACAGATTGAGAAAATGCTCCAGAGAAAGGCAGTTTATTGTATACATTAGAATCAAAGCAGGAGGTGTAAGGAGGGTTACATGAAATCCACTGGTGGTAGGTTAGGGAGGGGGGAGAAAGAGTGAAATGGAGAGACACACACTTTGTTCCCACGGGTGGGTGGGTGTAAGACAGTTAACCATGAGCATCTACAGCACATAGAGATGGTATTTGGGGAACAAGATAACAATGAGGGGCTCTGGGGTCAAGTACTCTGGTGCAGTGGGTGGGCCCTCTGAGGTCGGGAAAAAGAGATTACTCTAATATTCCAAAGATCTGTTATCTCAGCTGCAAAAAGACAATATAAGGGCCTGTTTAAGGTAAAGATTGACCCTTGTAAAGGAAGCTAAAGGCCTAGGATGTGACTGCCTTCCACAATCCACTCTTAGTTAGGAATTGTTATGTTCAGATCATCCAATGTGGCTACTTCAGTCTCTGAGTTTGTAGGGACCCCCATGCAGGCCCCCCCCTGAGCTTATCAGGTTACAAAGGCTCTTTCCCCACCCTCCACCCCCAAGGTGGTCCAAGTTAACTTTCATTTCAATGAGACTTAGTGCTGCTACTAAAGATTTCACGTAACTTAAGCTTCTCAAATGTTTGTTACTTTTGTGATCCTGGTGGCAATCCTGCAATTACTAGTATTTGTATATATTTTTACTCCTAAAATGAGGTGAGGAACCCTGAGGGTGTTCATGTTAGGAGGGAGAGAGTAGGGTCCCAGTCCAGTAGCTTACATTCCGTACTAGGAGAGTCGGACAGAGAAGGGACAGGGAATTGTGGCCGAGAAAGCAAGAGTGGAAAAGGGTGCAGTGGGGACCGGGCATTGAGTGTGCCTGGGGAGTGACATTGAAGTGTGTCTGACTCTACGCAGGATCCAGCGCTTAAGGACGGCCCCTCATCTCTCTGGCGTGAGGGCTGTATTTTCTGACCCTCCAACCCCTAGAGACCCCGGTTGGTTGGCCTCCACTCCACTGCCCTCAACATGGCAGCCCCAGCCCAGAAAACAGGCGGCGAGGCAGCTCTTTGAACGAGGCTGGTCCCTTTTCCGAATGCCTGGGACCCAGAGAGGGGTCGGAACTCCCCCCACTCCCCATAGCAACTCAGCTCCCAGCAGCGTGGCCCGCGGGAGCTGTCCGCGGTGCTGAGCCCCGTCTTTGGCTGGGCCCGATCCCATCCGCATGTAGGCTAAGGGCTCAGCGGGCCCTGGGGTGGGCGAGGGCCGAAGGTCCACGGCCAGCTCCAGGCTCTACATTTTAAATCCCTGCCGGGACCCCTACGCCACTCCCTGAACCCCAGCCTGGACTCTACGCAGGATCCAGCTTAAGGACGGGCCCCTCATTTCTCCCCCACACCCCGTGGTGTATCTCAATCTCCTCCCACCCCCCACTTCCTTCGCTCCCTCCTAGAGAACTGGCTCCGCGCTCCCCTTGTCCGCCCCACCCTTCTCGGGAGCGGGACTCTCCCAGGGCGCAGCAAGCTCCCGCCCAGGGGTGTCCACCCTTCCTTCCTTTTCTGTTTCCACCCTCCCCTTCTCTCCAGTAGTCTGAGCACCGAGCCTGAAGGTTTTCGCTCCGCCCCTATTTCCCATACAAGGGCGCGCTGGAGTGGGGGCGGGGCAGAAGGGAGGGGCTCGCTCCCAGTCCCCCTCAAAAGCTGCGAGCCCGCTGGCAACTCCTGGATCGGTTCAGCTCCTGCAGAAAAGCGGAGAAGCAAGAAGCCTGCACGGCAGTCCTGGGCGTTGGACCTCCAGGGGACAGATTCTCTCCTCCCTCCCTGGAGCGCTTTCCCGCCCGCCACGCCGCACTCACCAGGTAGGACCGAGCTCCTGGGTCTCGCCGGCGTGGATTGCCAGAGCCCTAAATGGACTAGGAGGCAATGTAAAGAACCTGTGCACGTACAGCCACGCATAGATTTATTTTTGCAGAGGTGGGATGACAGCGCTTTTAATTATTATTTATGTGGGCCAGTTATTCCAAAGGGAGGATGTAGGTAATTGGGGAGGGGAGTGGCTGGGGAGGAGGGGGCGGTAGAGAACGGGAAGTGAGGCACTTGGATTTTCTTTGTACAGGTGGCCATGGCCTCGCTGCCGACGACGCAGGACCCCTTGGTTCCTGACTTATCTCCTGGACGTCTCCCAGCGGCCCCAGCTCCGGGCAATCAGGTGCTGCTCTACAGCCTCGTGGTCGTCGTGGGGCTGGCGGGCAACTGCTTGCTGGTGCTGGTGAGCGGGCGGGTGCGCCGGCTGCACAACGTGACCAACTTCCTCATCGGCAACCTGGCCCTGTCCGACGTGCTCATGTGCAGCGCCTGCGTGCCGCTCACGCTGGCCTACGCCTTCGAGCCGCGCGGCTGGGTGTTCGGCGGCGGCCTGTGCCACCTGGTCTTCTTCCTGCAGCCCGTCACCGTCTACGTGTCCGTGTTCACGCTCACCACCATCGCGGTGGACCGCTACGTCGTGCTGGTGCACCCGCTTCGCCGGCGCATCTCGCTGCGCTCCAGCGCCTACGCGGTGCTGGGCATCTGGGCGCTGTCCGCGGTGCTGGCGGTGCCCGCGGCCTTGCACACCTATCATGTCGAGCTCAAGCCGCACCGCGTGCGCCTCTGCGAGGAGTTCTGGGGGGCCCAGGAGCGCCAGCGCCAGCTCTATGCCTGGGGACTGCTGCTCGTCACCTACCTGCTTCCCCTGCTGGTCATCCTCCTGTCCTACGTCCGAGTGTCGGTGAAGCTGCGAAACCGCGTGGTGCCGGGCTGCGTGACCCAGAGCCAGGCCGACTGGGACCGCGCGCGGCGCCGCCGCACCTTCTGCCTCCTGGTGGTGGTGGTGGTGGTGTTCGCCATCTGCTGGCTGCCGCTGCACGTCTTCAACCTGCTGCGGGACCTGGACCCTCTCGCCATCGACCCCGACGCCTTCGGGTTGGTGCAGCTGCTCTGTCACTGGCTCGCCATGAGCTCGGTCTGCTACAACCCCTTCATCTACGCGTGGCTGCACGACAGCTTCCGCGAGGAGCTGCGCAAGCTGCTGCTGGCCTGGCCCCGCAAGATCGCGCCGCAAGGCCAGAGTATGACCGTCAGCGTGGTCATCTGAGGCCACTGCACCCCGCCTGGGCTGGGGAGCTCCACGACCCCTGGTCTCTGAGGGTGCCCACCGCGGCTGGGCTGGAGGGCTTGTTCCCAGCTCCAGAGCTAAGCCAGATGGGCCAAACTTCCAGCCCAGCCCCCTTGTCTAGCAGCTTTGCCTTGTCCTTGAGTCTTTGTGAAATGTTAAGTGGGCTTTGGTGCAAGTGCTTTGCTTGGAGGAGGCCCCGGGAGAGGAAAGGGGATTTATTATTTGTCTCTTTATGCGTTAAAGGCCAAACAAAGCTCCTGGGTTTTAAAATAGTGTTTCCGAACCGTGGCTGCCTCCCATGCCTTGCCTCCTGTTTGCTCAATGGTGAGATGAGAAGGAACAATGCGGGTAGGAGTTAAAGTGACTGCGTAGGAGTTTGGCAAAGCTCTTCAGTTTGCCTTTTAAAATGGATGCAATTTTTAAGGCTGAGGTATAATGCCTGATATTGCTTCCCTAATTTGAACCCACTTATTTCTAAAATTCTGGGGACATAGGCATTCCCAACCTACAGCTAGGATGCTAGCATTTCCTGAACAAGACCTTGATACATCATTTTCATTTGAAATCCACTTGCATTTATAGTATAAAACACTTAAAAACGACCTTTGAAAAGGTCTTGCTGTTATGTCCCCCCTCCTCATCCCCCACTTTTATTTGAAAATGATGAGATAAATTAGTTAGTGAAGAGATAAATAAACAGGAATAAAGAGGAAAAGGTACCAGTCACTTAAGGGGACAGATAGCCGTGCAGAGGACAGACCTCCTATCTGTGTATGTTTGTGTATACACACCCAGTGCTTGCCACTGGTGGGCACTCACATATTTGCTTTCCTGAACATGCAGTGGCAGCTCATGCCACAGCATTCTCCTGCATTCTCCAATCGCTTGGCCGCAGCGGATCCACAGCTGTCTTCCAGCCACTCAGCACCTGCTCTGCAGTGACACACTTGGAGCATGATCAATCCAGATGACAAGGACTGGGAGAAGTTTCCTTAAGGCCCAATCAGAAAAATAAGCAGTCACTCACAGGACACCCAGATCAAACACGTAATTCCTTCCACACAGGGTTAAGGGGACAGGTGAAGGCCGTTGGGCCACGATACCATGCTGCTAATTCTCACCTTAACCTCCCGAGGACCTTCTGTAAATGAGGACAAGTGCCCCGTGACAAGGGTTTCCACACCTATGTTGGGACAGTGAGTGGGCAGTGAGGGCAGGCGTGTTAGGAAATGACACCTGAAATCCAGCTGTCAGATCAGCCCCCCTGGCATGCAGGGCCTGAGCTATGTCTGCAGCCTCTCGGTTACCAAGTGTAAGATTCCAGGGCCGCCACAGCTCACTAAGCAGCTGAATCCGTGTTTCCCCACCTCCCCTTCTCTTACTCCCGGAAAGGAGCGCATTCACTCATTAAGGTGTTCCCTGAAAGGAAGCTAAAGAGGGGGCGACTTGGGGATGACTAGGATTCGATGCTATTACTCCAGTGCCAACAGCCAGGATGGAAGAGTGAGGATTGGTGGTTGGGCTAGTTATCAATCCGAGTCTTTAGTAGGTATATGGCTCGAGTGTTTGAAGCATGGGGAAGGGGAGGAAAAGCCTGGCTTGGGAGAAAGGAAAACACAGGTTAACTCGGGAGATGCAAGTTACCTTTGGCAATGACACTGACATGAGCGGTCGGCTTCACCTGCGGGACGTGGAGAACAAAGACCCTGTGCTCTAATAATGCAGCCCGCCCACAACGTTGTGTTCCCCCCCCCTCCCCCACCGTGGACTCATCTCCCAGGCACCCCAGGGACAGGCTCCTGTGCTTCCAGCAGTTCCATTACTTGCGAGGCTCAAGACCACACATGTCAC